TTTGATTTTTTTTACTGCAACGTATACGTCAATTATCTTGATATATTCGCAACATTAAGAACTTAAAATAGCAGTTACTAAATATGCCTAAGTCAGTTTGTCGCGCCTGAAAAGTCGATCGCTCGCATATTTTTTCCGGAGGCTGTCGGATAGCATGGCGACATGCAACGATCCCAAAATGAAAAGTTTTCGAGAGGAGGAGATAGGAGGGTGGCAAAAAAGTAACTCTTTAACTCTTACGTACCTGTTCTATGTAATATACGTCTAAGTCCGCAATCAAAGTAAATCATTTCACCGAAAGAAAGTGAGATCAAAATGAGATGTCGATCAAAAGAAGCCTCGCGTTTGTAATATACATAGACGGAGAGTCTACTTAGATGTGAAACTCGAATCGTCCCTTTTTATATGACACTGCATCGAATAGCCACCGATTAATACGTGATTAGAGAATCCGATACTTTGTGTGTATCTCAACGTTTGTACTTCGCTTCGTTCCGTACTTCTCTGTGCTGACGTTAAATATTGATATCTTGATACTTTAGATTGACCAATGTGATTCTGTGGCTTAGCACCCCCAATCCTCGCTCGTGTCCGTATCGAGATTCCAAGGGAATGCTTGACAATTAGATTCGTGCTAGTTTCAAGATGGCACGATTTTTCTACAATGATATACCTTTCTTCTGCCCTATTTTCAAGTTATAGAATGATATTAATTGTGAATTCGATAAAGTCGTAGGGCATTTAAAAACTTACGCGATAAACGAGTGCGTACGAGAGCCGATCAGTAGGACATTAGAAATTAAGCTTGTAAGATACATTCTTTGTAAGCTCCATAGTTTTTCATCGTTAGGATGTAAGGATTTCTACATTAACGTGTTGACAAACACAGATATCGAGACATAGTAGATCTACGAAAAATACGAAATCTATTTAACAATGTATATCCACTTTTCTCCTTATATCCGGTTAAATCCTGTATTAGATTATACGGACAAAGATTGTCGCCTATAACGCTTTCCACGTCTCCCAAATCAAAAATTCATTTGACAAAGTCAATTTCTAACAGTTGTTATATTACTCACGATTGTTTTCCTGAAGCAATTTGCTTGTAATTAATTAAAATTGGATTCCCCAAAATGCAGAGGATATCTAGACCACCGATTAAAGAAAACAACTTTTTTACTTTTAATGTTTCTTCATCTATTGTATTTTTATCAATTTTGCATTTTTTTAACTATAGACACTCCACAATATCAAATTGCATATGCGTAAAACTAGCATAAACAAATCGAATGTTACAACGCGTAGCCAGTAGCAGCCAAGAAGCAATAGCAGAAAGTTCAGAACACTTTGAGAATTTTGTAAAATCTATAGATGTTTTTCCGAGCCTTGGGCACATTGCGTGTAGTCAAATTCACACGCAGTTAAAAATGTAAGTTTCGCATAATTGTTTTCACCGATTTCATTTGCTATTCAAATTTATCCTGGTGAAAATTTTTCTTAGATTATATAATATTTCTATACAAAATTTCTATGCAAATTTGAGAATTTTTCTAATTTTATAACTTTTTAAAAAAATTTCTCTATTTTTATTAAGAATTTATTAGACATTTATGAACACAAAAATATTGCAAATTTTCAAAAATATTGCAAAAGTATATCTTTTCTTTATTATATGAATTCCAAAAATATTCTAAGATTTCTCATTTAATTTCTAAAGAAAATTTATAAAATTTAGAGAAATTCGAGACATTTGTTTAAATTTTTGTAAAAAAAATATAAAAACTTTTTTAAGTGTAAAATGCGAAAATTTTCGTGAAAATAATTGAATGTTTTTCGAAAATGGTAAACAAGAACCAGGAATGAATTACCGGTTAATTTATACAATTAAATTGCATTTTATATTACAAATTTAATACATGACTGCGTGTCAATTGAAGTTCTACGCAGCACAGTGCGCCTAATTTTCATTAGTGAAGTATTGTCCATGAAGTTTCGCATCTCGAGTTCAATATTACATAAATCAGAGCACGTAATTATATTAATTAAGCATGCGACTGAATAATCAATCTGAAATTATTGTAATAG